ATGCAAAATAAAAAATTAATTTGAATAAAATGAACTTAATGAATTCTACTAGATAGAGCATGCAAGATAGAGAACTATTTTAACTACGGGGTCATCTTTGTCTTCTCCAACGTCGACCTGAAACAGATACGGTGGTAACAGATTAATAAAGAGCAATTAAAATTAATTATATCAAGTATTCTCACCTTAATTAACTGTAGACTGTAATGTTCCAAAGTTTGCAGGTGTGAAAAGCAAACCAAGCCCAGGAATAATGCCAATGCAGAAAATTCCCTATTCCAGTGGAATTCAATAAATATCCAGTTGTTCTAACTCATCAGTTCAAAACTAACTGCATAATGATGCAAAGCGAAGACGAAAACAGCAAATCAAGGATGTAGTTCACCAAAGACCACACCCATGTAGACAATGGTTGTTTCAGTACGACCAAACTGAACTTCCAACTCCCTCTCACTTGTTGAACGATCTGTAGGAATGGGCAAAAAACATATTAATTACACTATTAATTTAGAATGAGATTAAACACACCTAAAAACACGCACCGAAAACCAAGTAAAGCACCTGAATTATAAAATGGTGACAAGCGTCAAGTTTACATGACAAACCAAATTTGACATATAAATGTGAGGTAATCATAGATGCACATAGCATTAATTTAAAATGTCGACCATAGATAATTATTAAAACTCCACAGATGCACAACTCAATTTAAACTGTGACCAATAGATAAACGTTAAATGACATACCATAGATGCTGTGGACTATAGATATTTAAAATACTATACATACGTCAAAACATCAATCTATACTCTGGCTAATAGATAACAGTTTAATAGAAATGCCACTATAGATTAATAAAGAGCAATTTATATTAATTACGTCATATTTTCTTACCTTAACCAATTGTACAATGTAGCGTTCCAAAGTATGCCAGTATGATGAGCAAATCAAATCTAGGAGGGATATCACTGCAGAAAACTTGTTGTTTCAGTGACTTCCGAATTAATTTTCACTTGCCTGCCATTTTCAGGGCCAAAACTAACTGCATAATGTTGCAAGGTGAAAACATCAAAAGCATCGGTTGTTTCAGTAGCACCAATTCCTTCTTATCTGTTACGACAATCTATAGAAACGGGCAAGAAAAACTAATCAATTACCACTTTTAAAGCAAGTAAATCAGTGACAATCACACTAATGAAACATCAGTTACACATTCATTCTGCTGAAATCTTGTTTAAAAGTTGTCTATTGAAGCAAGTTACAAATGTCTAAGAAATTGAAATTCCTAGGACCTCATTTACTATTTTATTTTTAATTGATAGTGTTACATACCAGTTCATTGTCATAAATCCTTTCTTCAACAACAGCACACTGGATAAATGACGTTTTTATGCTCTTTTTAGGACCATAGGAAACGCTACTTTCTTGAGCGATTGACGACTGAGACAATAAATACTCCACAATTTAACAGAATTTGGAATTCTTCCAACGTTCCTATAAAATGAAACAGTATTTTAGCATCCTTGGTAAATAACCTAAATAGTACATGGTTAAACTAATGTAAATATAGACGCACGATAAAGTCAATGTATATTGTAGAGTAGATAATTATTAAAGGAAACGTCACAACAGTTTAATAAAGTGCAATGAATATTGATTGTATTCTGACCTTAATTCACTGTAGACTGTAATGTTTCAAAGTTTGCAGGTGGGAAAAGCAAACCAAATCCAGGAATAATGCCAATGCAGAAAATTCCTTATTTCAGTGGAAATCAAATAAATATTCTGTTGCTCTCACTCAACAGTTCAAAACTAACTGCATAATGATGCAAAGCGAAGACGAAAACGGCCAATCAAGGATGTAGTTCACCAAAGACCACACCCATGTAGACAATGGTTGTTTCAGTACGACCAAACTGAACTTCCAACTCCCTCTCACTTGTTGAACGATCTGTAGGAATGGGCAAAAAACATATTAATTACATTATTAATTTAGAATGAGATTAAACACACCTAAAAACACGCATCAAAAACCAAGTAAAGCAGTTGAATTATAAAATGGTGACAAGCGTCAAGTTCACATGACAAACAAATTTGACGTATAAATGTGAGGTAATCATAGATGCACATAGCATTAATTTAAAATGTCGACCATAGATAATTATTAAAACTCCACAGATGCACAACTCAATTTAAACTGTAACCAATAGATAAACGTTAAACGACATACCATAGATGCTGTGGACTATGGATATTTAAAATTCAATACATACGCCACAACATCAATCCATACTATGGCTAATAGGCAACAGTTTAAAAGAAATGCCACTATAGATTAATAAAGAGCAATTTATATTAATTACGTCATATTTTCTTACCTTAACCAATTGTAGAATGTAGCGTTCCAAAGTCTGCCAGTATGATGAGCAAATCAAATCTAGGAGGGATATCACTGCAGAAAACTTGTTGTTTCAGTGACTTCCGAATTAATTTTCACTTGCCTGCCATTTTCAGGGCCAAAACTAACTGCATAATGTTGCAAGGTGAAAACATCAAAAGCATCGGTTGTTTCAGTAGCACCAATTCCTTCTTATCTGTTACGACAATCTATAGAAACGGGCAAGAAAAACTAATCAATTACCACTTTTAAAGCAAGTAAATCAGTGACAATCACACTAATGAAACATCAGTTACACATTCATTCTGCTGAAATCTTGTTTAAAAGTTGTCTATTGAAGCAAGTTACAAATGTCTAAGAAATTGAAATTCCTAGGACCTCATTTACTATTTTATTTTTAATTGATAGTGTTACATACCAGTTCATTGTCATAAATCCTTTCTTCAACAACAGCACACTGGATAAATGACGTTTTTATGCTCTTTTTAGGACCATAGGAAACGCTACTTTCTTGAGCGATTGACGACTGAGACAATAAATACTCCACAATTTAACAGAATTTGGAATTCTTCCAACGTTCCTATAAAATGAAACAGTATTTTAGCATCCTTGGTAAATAACCTAAATAGTACATGGTTAAACTAATGTAAATATAGACGCACGATAAAGTCAATGTATATTGTAGAGTAGATAATTATTAAAGGAAACGTCACAACAGTTTAATAAAGTGCAATGAATATTGATTGTATTCTGACCTTAATTCACTGTAGACTGTAATGTTTCAAAGTTTGCAGGTGGGAAAAGCAAACCAAATCCAGGAATAATGCCAATGCAGAAAATTCCTTATTTCAGTGGAAATCAAATAAATATTCTGTTGCTCTCACTCAACAGTTCAAAACTAACTGCATAATGATGCAAAGCGAAGACGAAAACGGCCAATCAAGGATGTAGTTCACCAAAGACCACACCCATGTAGACAATGGTTGTTTCAGTACGACCAAACTGAACTTCCAACTCCCTCTCACTTGTTGAACGATCTGTAGGAATGGGCAAAAAACATATTAATTACACTATTAATTTAGAATGAGATTAAACACACCTAATAACACGCACCAAAATACAAGTAAAACAGCTGAATTATAAAATGGCGACAAGAGTTAGTTACATGACAGACCAAATTTGACATATAAATTAGAAATAATCATAGATGCACATGTTAATTTATGATATAGACAATAGATAATGTTAAACGACATACCATAGATGCTGTGGACTATGGATATTTAAAATACTATACATACGTCAATACATCAATCTATACTCTGGCTAATAGATAACAGTTTAATAGAAATGCCACTATAGATTAATAAAGAGCAATTTATATTAATTACGTCATATTTTCTTACCTTAACCAATTGTAGAATGTAGCGTTCCAAAGTCTGCCAGTATGATGAGCAAAGCAAATCTAGGGTATATCACTGCAGACAATTTGTTGTTTCAGTGGTTTCCAAATTAATTTCCATTTGCCTCCCATTCTCAGGGCGAAAACTAACTGCATATTGTTGCAAGGTGAAAACATCAAAAGCATCGGTTGTTTCAGTAGCACCAATTCCTTCTTATCTGTTACGACAATCTATAGAAACGGGCAAGAAAAACTAATCAATTACCACTTTTAAAGCAAGTAAATCAGTAACATTCACACTAATCAAACCATCAGTTACACATTCATTCTGCTGAAATGTTGTTTAAAAGTTGTCTATTGAGGCAAGTTATAAATGTCTAAGCAATTGAAGTTCCTGGGACCTCATTTACTATTTTATTTTTAATTGATAGTGTTACATACCAGTTCATTGTCATAAATCCTTTCTACAACAACAGCACACTGTCTCCGTTCCAATGGAAAAATGGCGTTTTGATGCTTTTTTTTAGGACCACAGGCGCAGCTACTTTCTAGAGGGATTGACGACTGAGACAACAAATACTCCACAATTTAGCAGAATCTGGAATTCTTCCAATGTTCCTATAAAATGAAACAGTATTTTAGCATCCTTAGTAAATAACCTGCATAATACATGGTTAAAATAATGTAAATATAGACGCACGATAAAGTCAATGTATACTATGGAGAGTAGATAATTATTAAAAGAAATGTCACAATAGTTCAATAAAGAGAATTAGTATTGATTGTATTCTCACCTTAATTCACTGTAGATTGTAATGTTCCAAAGTTTGCAGGTGTGAAAGGCAAACCAAATCTAGGAATAATGCCAATGCAGAAAATTCCTTGTTTCAGTGGAAATCAAATAAATATTCATTTGCTCTCACTCATCAGTTCAAAACTAACTGCATAATGATTGAAAGCGAAGACAAAAATAGCAAATCAAGGATGTAGTTCACCAAAGACCACACCAATGTAGACAATGGTTGTTTCAGTACGACCAAACTGAACTTCCAACTCCCCCTCATTTGTTGAACGATCTGTAGAAATGAGAAAAAAACTTATTAATTACACTGTTAATTAAGGAAGAGATTAAACACACCTAAAAACACGCACCAAAAACCAAGTAAAGCAGTTGAATCATAAAATGGTGACAAGCGTCTAGTTGACATGACAGACTAAATTTGACATATAAATGCGAGGTAATCATACATAGATATAATCATAGATGCATATTGCATTAATTTATAATGTTGACCATAGATAATTATTAAAACTCCACAGATGCGCAACTCAATTTAAATTGTGACCAATAGATAAACGTTAAATGACATACCATAGATGCTGTGGACTATAGATAATTAAAATTCTATACATACGTCACAACATCAATCTATGCTCTGGCCAATAGGTAACAGTTTAAAAGAAATGCCACTATAGATTAATAAAGAGCAATATATATTAATTACGTTGTTTTCTCACCTTAACCAATCGTAGAAAGTAGCGTTCCAAAGTCTGCCAGTATGATGAGCAAAGCAAATCTAGGGTATATCACTGCAGACAATTTGTTGTTTCAGTGGTTTCCAAATTAATTTCCATTTGCCTCCCATTCTCAGGGCGAAAACTAACTGCATATTGTTGCAAGGTGAAAACAACAAAAGCATCGGTTGTTTCAGCAGCACCAATTCCTTCTTATCTGTAAGAACTAATCAATTACCAATTTTAAAGCAAGTAAATCAGTAACATTCACACTAATCAAACCATCAGTTATACATTCATTCTGCTGAAATGTTGCTTAAAAGTTGTCTATTGAGGCAAGTTATAAATGTCTAAGCAATTGAAGTTCCTGGGACCTCATTTACTATTTTATTTTTAATTGATACTGTTACATACCAGTTCATTGTCATAAATCCTTTCTACAACAACAGCACACTGTCTCCGTTCCCAATGGGAAAATGGCTTTTTGATGCTTTTTTTTAGGACCATAGGCGCAGCTACTTTCTAGAGTGATTGACGACTGATACAACAAATACTCCACAATTTAACAGAATTTGGAATTCTTCCAAAGTTCCTATAAAATGAAACAATATTTTAGCATCCTCAGTAAACAACATGCATAATACATGGTTAAAATAATGTAAATATAGACGCACGATAACATCAATTTATACTGTGGAGAATATATAATTATTAAAAGAAATGTCACAACAGTTTAATAAAGAGCAATTAACATTGATTATGTTATGTACTCTCACCTTAGTTAACTATAAAAAGTAGTGTTCTAAAGTTCATCAGTGAATTGAGCAAACCAAATCTAGGAAGGGTACCACTGCAGACAAGTTGTTGTTTCAGTGGCTTTAAAATTAATTTTCCAAATGCCTCCCAATCTCAGGGCCAAAATTAACTGCATAATGTTGCTAGGTGAAGACGTCAAAAGCATCGGTTGTTTCAGNGTTAAAATAATGTAAATATAGACGCACGATAACATCAATTTATACTACGGAGAATATATAATTATTAAAAGAAATGTCACAATAGTTTAATAAAGAGCAATTAACATTGATTATGTTATGTACTCTCACCTTAGTTAACTATAAAAAGTAGTGTTCTAAAGTTCATCAGTGTATTGAACAAACCAAATCTACGAAGGGTACCATTGCAGACAATTTGTTGTTTCAGTGGCTTCAAAATTAATTTTCCAAATGCCTCCCAATCTCAGGGCCAAAATTAACTGCATAATGTTGCTAGGTGAAGACGTCAAAAGCATCGGCTGTTTCAGTAACATCAAAATTAACTGCAATCTTCTTTTCTATTTCTAAGTGATAGTTACTTACCAGTTCAGTGTCATGAATTTCTCCTACAGCAACAGCACACTTTTTGTCATTCCCAATGGAAAAAAACCACTTCCATGCGTTCTTTAAGACCACAAGTAGACATATACTTTCTGGAGCAAATGAAGACTGATACAACTGATGCTCCGTAATTTTATGGCATCTGGAGTTTTATAATGTTCCTATTAAATGAAATCAATGAAAAAAAAAAATACGTTAATTATACAACACGCTACTGGAGTGAAACTTCTTTAAACACACAAACATACCGGGATAGGGGTTAAGGAATTGGCGTCAGTGGCGTCGTTTCGACTATAGAGTGTAGACACACATACAAATACATTCATACATCTTGTTAGGGCTACACTATACATGCCGGGTTGCCTGTAACGAATGTTGCATTGAAGCGCGCTCACGGCTCAAGCAATCCCCACTACGAACTCGACTACGTGACCGAGTAGAGTGGGGTCATCCGTTGCATGAATTCGTTACATAGCAACTCGCATGAAACGAACTTACCTTACTGTGCGTAAAGAAGTTTCACTTCAAAAGTATTCGGATACAATTACTTTAGCTTTCCTAATTAAAGTAATGTTCAACCTTTTTTTCTGTTGATATCAAATAAATATACTACATATACAATATAGCACTTAACTTCAATTCTCCAAGATGATAACGTAACAGATACAACACGATAGACGACTTGCTTTCTCAGTAGCATCAAAATAAACTTTAATCTCCTCACTCATTTATCTTAAATCTGTAGAAATACAGAAATAACGAATTAACTATTGTACGAATTAAATAAATAATTAAATAGAATAAAAATACTTACAAAAAAGCAAGTAAAATTTTAAAATTCTTACTTTATAAACGACGATGAAGCGTGTCGTATCTCATAGATCCATAGATGTATAAAATTCATAGAAACATCTGCAACGAGGAAAATTTAATTTACTCTGTATAATTGGGAAAAATCCAATACCTAATAAGAATCATCACAACAACAACGCAATTTGCAAAGAAATAGCCATAGGCAAGTACTTATACATAAAAAAACAATCTAGTCAAATCGAGAACGAATTAAATGTCATACGTAAAACCATGATTAATTATAAATAAACCGCCGTCAGTATAGACACTTTTGCAAAGAAAACTTGCAAGAAACAAGAAAAATTAATGTAGAAGAAAAATATTTTGTATGCAACCGCACACGCATCAAAGTACATTGGACTGCATAGATAGTTAAAAATTGTATGTCACCGCAAAATGTAAAAGAAAGATTGTGAACGTAACATACCTAGTAAAATTTAACGCATTATTTTTTCATAGATTGTATTCTACAGCAATATTTTTTAATAAACAACAAACATCAAAATCCTTAAAATGATTGACTTTATGATTACTTCAGATCACCAAAAAAAAAGCCAAACTTAATACTTAACAACACACAAATATATTTTGATACTGACCCCTAATTAATTTAAACCAATATGCACATGATGAATATAAAATGTCAATGAATGACCTCAAATGTGCATTAGGAATTTTTTTTTTTTTTTAATAAACAACCTTTTTACTGTAACAGAATGTATTTCCAAATAAAATTAGTAATCATTAAAAAGTAATGGATAAATGGGTTTCTTTATGGCGATCTGGCTGTACAGCAGTTGAGATAGGTTGTAATATGTTGTTTTTAATCGATTTACATTTACTTGTAATTATTACTAATAAATAATATAAAAATAAACTCCGCTTGCCATAATAGTCCAATCTTCAATAAGCACAAATAACGCGCAATCGATTGGCGTCAATAAAATTAAGATATCTTCAGTAGTTTTTAATTAAATCGACATTGAACTTCCACCTGCACTCCAAACAATTTTTCTTTTTCATTCTTTCTAAACAAATGGGGTGCAACCGATTGGCGTCAATGAAATTATGAAGCTGCAATGGCTTTCGAATAAATGGACATTGCATTTCTCCTAGCAGCTGATATAATTTTTTTTAAACAAAACTATTGACGCACAATTAGGTTTCGAACGTATGTAAAACCCGTAAACAACGCACAATTTATCGAAAATTTAAATTAACGTATTAATTATATTGGGCACCAGTTTGCAAGACTGGTAGACAAACCACATGTTAAAGGTCCATTACTACCTTAATGACCTCCTTCTGTTATTTTTGGACTGATTGTAAGCTTACTGTTCATCCTCAAAGTTAAGATTTTTCAAATATGTGTAAGTTAACAAAAAAAAATCCAAAATGATTTACACCAAAGTAACAAATAAAAAGTATAATTGTGATTTTCATAAAAAACTATGTCTGCAATATAAGTATTATTTCTTTAGATGTATATTGTAATAAAATTAACAAAATACTATTTTAAATCATCACAGGGTTGTCAGTCTAAAGAGTGATTGGACACGTACCTCCATTCCTTATCCTGAGCCAATCCCACTTCCCTAAAACTAGAACAACCGCAATCTAAACTATTTGCCAACAATAATTTAATCTGTCTTTTTCTACACTTCATAACGCCTCTTTTTACTTTTAGTAGTCTCTAACTATGTCTCAAAAAGTGCCTTAAGATCTTACCTCTCCTTTTTTTGTGTTTCTTACCGAACGTCCATTGTTTTCCTACTCATTCTATTACTTATTTCTAGTTTTTCCTATCCACAGTATATTCATCATCTGTTATTGACGTCATGTCTTAAAGGATTCTAACTTTTGACAGAGTTGCATCCCAAACATATTCTTTGAACAATCTTTTTGGAATTTTCACTAACCGTTCGCGAGCACGGATTGAATTTCTTTTACTATAAGTGACTCAACTCCACACTATTCTTTGCATTATGTCTGCACCATTTTTGCCATCCTGACATATATGACTTCCTAGATATCGAATATCAGCGACTCTTTAGTTTTTCATCTCCAATTTGTATATGAGATCTAAAAAATACCATTAGCAAATATTTATTAAAAAAAATTAGAAATAATTTATTAAATTACTCGTACATAAAATAAATGATATAAAATGTTATTTTTTTAGTTAAAAGATGTCATAAAAATGTAATAAAAGTACAAACATAGTATAACAAGTATCAAATGGTTTTGAAAGACGTGGTATTTACATTATTAACAAAACACAATTTAAGAGCAATTAAGTAACAAATTACATAAACAAAAGTAATATTAACTAATGATCATGATACATTTAAACACAACTGTGAAGTACACAATACGGAATTCTTAATTTCCTAATGAGATTTTTTTATTTATATTATTGCTCTTAATTCATAATTTGTTTTCTTGTCAGGTTTTGCTTGCATTATAATACGTAAGGCACTTAAGTATTAATTTTATATGGAACGGTTTATACTAGATAAAAATAGGTAAATTATAAACGAATATTTCTAAAAATATAACGCCTTTATAAAACAAATATTGCTGGTATTTTAAGTAAAATATAATTTACTTTTTATATCAAATTACAGAATCATAAATAACTGATTTATTAACGGTATCTATTTTAATAATTGATACCCCTAGAAATTAAAAAAAAATTGAAGCTGTTTTCATCTTCTCTAATTTTAACAATATACAACTTTAATCGGAAAGTAGTTCAAAATGTTATACATTATGTACTAGTGTTACGTACATTATAAACTACTGTAAAATAATTGAATTAATT